TAAACCAATTATTGGAGAGTTAATGGATTTTTCTAAACTTCACATTTCTTATAAAGGGAAATAATAAAGTTGGTTGCTGGAATTCTATAGCAAATATGTGTGAAACTGGAGAAACTCTAAGTATTATTCTTTAATTAGTGTGGCGGTTTCGATTAAGGGGAATAGGAGCATGGCATAAGTATAGAAAATCGCCTCATCGGCTGGTTCATATGTCACAGTGTTCTCAATTGCTGGTCGCGGAAAATAGAGGATTCTGGTACACGACAGTATTGCAGCGCTGCTGTTTGACAATACTTTATATTAAATAGCGTATAGCCAAACAACATTGATTTGTTTATATTCTGCTATGCTGTATCGCTTTTGCCGCATTTTGACAACACTGATCTGCCATAGAATTTTTTCCTTTTTTTCATATATATATATATATATATACCTGGTTCTGTGTACTTTCACGATCGCTCTTGAATTTCACTCTGCAAGATTGATAAAGTGATGAGCTATCGCTAAACTTTTGTCCCGTCTTTCAATATATTTCTGTACTACTTATGAAGGTTGAAACTTTCTGTGCTTTGTACATAAAACTTTCATTATGCTTTTTGAATAGATTGGAGTGTCCAAGCAGTTGTGAGCTGGATATTATCCGAGTGTCTAGGAAGCGAAAACATCTCAATTGTAGCTGAAGAAGATGTTCATACTCTCTCCAAATCTAATGCATCTGAATTATTAGAGTCAGTGGTTAACACTGTGAACGAATGCCTAGCTGACGCGCCTCGATTTGGTGTTGAGAAGCCAAAATCATCACTAACGACTTCAGAAGTTCTCGAAATCATTAGTCGGTGTAACTCAACCGGTGGCCCGTCTGGTAGATTTTGGGTACTGGATCCTGTTGATGGCACGCTTGGGTTTGTTCGCGGAGATCAATATGCTGTAGCTCTAGCACTCATAGAAAATGGAGAAGTGGTGCTTGGTGTTCTTGGTTGTCCTAATTATCCAATGAGAAAAGAATGGTTAGGCTATCAACATCGGTATCATAGGATTGTATCGAAGCTAACTCCTCCGAATTCTGAAAGTTGGAACAAAGGTTGTGTTCTATATGCTAAAAAGGGTAGTGGAAAGGCTTGGATGCAACCACTGATCCATGTGAATAAGATGTTTGTATGGCCAAACCATGCGAAACAAGTTTTTGTATCTCCCATTGACAATCCAGCATTGGCCACTTTTTGCGAACCAGTGGAGAAAGCCAATTCAAGCCATTCTTTTACCGAAGGATTGGCTCACAGTGTTGGTCTCAGGTGCATTTAAGTTTTTTCGTTCTATTTTGATTCTTGCCTCTCCGTTTTTCACGTGTTGATCTTTGTTATGTGATTGTTGATGTTATGTGCAGGAAACAGCCATTGAGAGTATACAGCATGGTGAAATATGCAGCAATAGGGCGCGGAGATGCAGAGGTTTTCATGAAATTTGCAAGGGCAGGTTACAAGGAGAAAATATGGGATCATGCTGCTGGCGTTATCATCATACAAGAAGCTGGTGGTGTGGTAACAGATGCTGGAGGATGTCCCCTAGATTTCTCAAAAGGATTATATTTGGAAGGCTTAGACCGCGGTATAATTGCGTGTTCTGGAGCGTCTTTACATGGAAAGATCATTGATGCTGTTGATGCTAGCTGGGGATGTTCTAGCCTTTGAGACTTTTTCTACATGAATGAATTTAAACGTATATATAAACAACAAATAATGCTAATAACTTTGTTATGCATTGACATATTGCTAACACCATCTAACGGGTGATTTTGTCAAACTCAACGTCAATTTATGTCTTTGAAACCCTAACGTCAACGTGGATGTTAGACAGACTATACGTGAGTTGGGAGGGACAAATTAAAGCGACAAATATTTAAATATTTAAATCGTCTACAAAGGATTCTACCTGTCTAGCAAGCAAACGACTTCATGCATAGTACATAGAAACTTGTATGGTGCTGATGAAATGAAAATGTATTGTCATGTATCATAACATACATGTAAATAAATGTAATAGGTTGGGGGCAGAGGAAAATTGAATGTCACATTGAGATGTTGTAAGATAAGCATTGATGGTGGAAGTTCAAACCAATATTTGACTTGTGAACAAATTGGTTTCTTACAAGTCAGAATCTTCATTTATTGCATTCAATAACCTGTTGATTTTTTGGCACCACAACTTTGACTTCTTCACAAGTTACTAGTGGAAACATTTGTAGGTCCTTTTATACAACTAACAGCATCTCCATAGGAGAATTTTAGAATATCTCTAATGGATTTCACACGGCTTCATCATCTTGAAAAACTTCACTTATCTTTTCTTTCAATAGTATTAACCATGAAAAATTCGCTTATCTTTTTCACTTATTTTTTTATAGTGATATTCACTTTAATGAAATGAGTTAAATTTGTTTTGGTGAAAAAAATATCGATATAATGAATTTCATTTAAATTTGTTCTACCAAAAAAGACTAATTTAATTACTTTTACTATATGTAATAAAGTCATTTTAATACACTTGTTGAATATCTCAAAATCATTCAAGTTTATTAAAAGATGACAACTTTTTTTACCTAAAGTTTTAGTTGGACATTATCAATTATTTAAATGTCACATTAATTTTGAAAATTTAACAATTTCTTTAATATTTAAATTTTAAATTAGAGGTAGCTCAATGAATTTGAGTTAAATGACATAATATTAGGGTGATAAAGCGAGCGTCCGCTTTATTTATACTCGTCTCGTTTAAGTCCGTTTAAAAGTGAAGTGGAACGAGACGGACTATCGTAAGAGTCTGAGTTCAAAAGTCAAATTCGTCCCATTTATTAATCCGATCTGTCAATTTTTAATTTTTTTAATTTTACAATTTGATTTAATATATAATTTAAAAAAAAATAATTATTACGAAAGAGGTTGATAAAGAAATTTTTTTAACAACCCATAATAGAACTTCAAGATGTCTTAAGTTCAAACAATTCAAAAAATTTAATAAATAAATAACAATTACAACAAAATAAAATAAAATAAATTCAAAAACAAAAAAAAATCAAAATAAATAAACAATACATATCATCTTAATCCTATTTAAAAACTAACTACTAAAAGAATCCAATTTAGAATTTACACAAAACCAACCATGATAACAATAACATTACATAAAACATCACAGTGCATAAAATAGTAATGCGTAAAATATCAACACCGAACTTTCTCACTATTTACATTATATAGATTCTTATACTAATCGATTCTTTAATAGTTAAATCTTAATTTGTCACACGTATACACTAATCAAATCATTCTTTTTCATAAAATCAACATTTATTTCTAAAGAAAACATCTGAACTAATATATTGAAAATTTAATAATTATACATGTCATATATTTGTTCTTTTATTTCAATCAACACATGTATTAGACAATTATAGAAAGAACGTTATAATTATAATTTAATTTGTCTGTATAATAATTTATAATATAATCCTAAGAGATAAGTGTAGTTTTTATAATTAAAATTTTTTTAATTCTTAATAAAAAAAATAAAAATTTTAACAAAAAGTCCGCGAAAAAAATTCACCTTGTCTCACTTTTTTAAACGAGTTAGACGGAACAGATCAACTTAAATTATCGAACCAAAAACCTCAACCCTACCCGTCAAAAATAATAGGTCAAACAGACAAACCCAACATATCAAACCCGTTTTACCATCTCTACGTAACATAATTCAATATATGACAACAATTTTATTTTAATATTTTCTTATAAAGTATTAATCTACACAAATTGTTAATACTTATAAATGAATAATTTTTTGTATAAATTTCTTTTAACTTTATTTACATATATTTATTTTTTATGCAAATAAAAAATTTAAATATAAAAAAATCGGGTTATCATTATAACACTAATACTTCTGGATTAGCATTTGAAATCCCATTATGTATAAAATGAGAGTTTGGTCTTACAGAAGTGGTTAATTAGAATATCAAAATATGATTAAACAAAATTCGGATTTCAATTAAAGTATTGCAGGTGTATGGAAAAGCCGAAAGCAACAACAGACTAGATATTTCCTAGTAATATATTAGAAAGAAACGTGTCATATTTTCTTTTAAAATCTTAAAAACAATAAATTAAGACAATGAAATATGATTTTTTTTAAATAAATCTATTATTTTATTCATTCTTGATCGATGTAGAACATAATTTATAATTTATAATTTATAATTATAGTCAGATTTGAATCTAACTATCTCATCTATATTACACATAATTTAATTTTAAGTGAAAATATGAAAAATATATTCAAACATGAGAAAGTGTATTTCGATAATTAATATATATTTATATCATTTAATTTTAATATTTTATATTTTTTAACATTAAAAGCAATGATTTATTATAAAAATTTCAAAAGTTTATAAATAGTAATATGTTATTTTATTTTTATAAATATAATTTTTACCATTCAAAAAAGAGTAATTGTATTTATTATTCGTTTCTCTTATATTTCTGAATAATACTTTATTAATTTTTAAGATAAAAATTAAAACGAAAAAAATAAAGTTTATGCTCCTTTACCAAACAAATCATGAGTTAGTGTTCCACATGCATCAAATATCTCTAGTGGAGATACATATGAAATAAAAACCACACTGTTATTTTTAGAATTGATATGTAACAAGACACATGAATCTTTAATTTGACACACTAGTGATGTTATACACATAAGTAGAAATTATCCTTGAACTCAAAATGTCATATGATAAAGCACAGTATAATAAATGTATGCAGCAACCGACTTTAATATCTTAATTAAATCTCCCCACCTGTCCTCCACACCCTCTCATAAATGCATCTATACATTCATTCCACTAAGATATTTAAATATTTATTCATCCCTCCATATCTATATCATATCTACTTTTTCCTCATATCTCACACCTCATATCATATTCTTCCTCAACAAAAAACAAAATGAAACCTATGATCACTTTTCTCTTGTTCACTACTCTTATGCTTATAGCTTCATCTTCCTTTGCAACCCGATCCGTTTCATCTGGATCTTCTCCTTCTACTCAACCCAAAAACTCTAACCCTAACCCTAACGACAAAAACAACAACAATAACAACAACCAAGGTGGTGGTGTACCGGGTGGTGTTTTTGGACCTGGAGGAGGGTTTAATATTCCAGGTTTTGGAAACGGGTTTGGTAACGGTTTTGGAGGTGGATATGGATCCGGGTATGGAGGTCCGAATGGAGGACACTCTAAGAATGGTATAATAAGACCTTCTGTTACATGCACTGAGAAAGGTCCATGTTATCAGAAAAAGTTGACATGTCCAGCTAAGTGTTTCACTTCTTTCAGCCATTCCGGTAAGGGGTACGGTGGTGGTGGCGGTGGTGGTGGTTGTACCATTGATTGCAAGAAGAAGTGCAGTGCTTATTGTTGAGTAAAGTGTATTTATTATAAATGTATTGCAAGAGTTGTTGTTTCTAGTACTAGAGTACTATAGTACTAGAATATTATTATGTGTATGCGACGACTCATAATATATGGTTTTTATCATATATACTTTTAGATAAAATAAATAGAAAGTAGATAAATTTTCTTTGGAGCTTATGTGCTTTTGATTATGTCTACTTCTATGTCTATATTTTGGAGTGTATCTTTTATCAATATATATAAAGAGAATATTATATAGTTTACTCTAACCATGGTGTTGTATTTTAAGATTTTTTGAAAGTGCACTTTCAAACAATGCAAAGTTAGTGGTTTTTCATATGTATACACTCAATTTTCAAAGTTATATTTAGGGTGGGGTAGTCATAAGTTTCAGGCCTATCCAAGTTGCACTACATTTGCCATTTGCCATTTGCTTTTTTTTGCTACAAAACTCTCCATCTTTGTTTTCATTAATATGTCGGAAGTATAACACAATATTAGTTTTAGTATGACTTGAACTTTGATAGCTCTAGAAGATTTGATAGTAGAGATGGGAGTTCGAATTTGTGTTTTTTTATTTATCTACTTTTAAATAAAATTGGTCAATAGATACAATAATAAAGATAATAACCATTAAAAATTCATATATATAATTGTGAGAACCAGAATTTAAATTATGCATGACAATAAAATTTGTATTCGTGGGTATTCATCCAAATCCGTCTTAAAATTGACGGAGAAAATTCATTTTAATTGGGTTTGATTTTGAATTTTAGTTTTTTTCAATTATAAAATATGAGGACAGGTCGGATAATGAAGACACTGATGTCTATTTCAAACTTGCATCATTTATTTCATATGGATATTATTATTTATTTTTGATAATTTAAAATATTAAATATGTTGTTAATGTTTTGATAATTTAATTTAATTATTTTTGTAATAGCATCACTGCTATCATCACTATCACATTCACTTTATAGTTCTTCATTATCATTATCTCCTTTAAATTCTTTCTTGTCTTGTTCAAAATTTTCCTTTTGTTTTTTGTCTTTACCCCTAGTTATGTTGTTCATATTCAACTAGATTAGCTAAATTTTCTTCCTCTAAATCATGATACTCATCAGAGGAATCATCAAATGCTATTTCTAAAGCACTATCATAATTCTCGTCTTCACTGTCATCTTCACTACCAGTACTTAACTCATCATGCACTTCACCAGCCTCCACACCAACATTATCACCAACTTGCTCAACATTATCACTAATTTGTTCAACATTATCACCATCCAAACCTGCATCATTACCCTCCTTTTCAACATTATCACCATCCAAACCTACATCATTACCCTCATGTCTAATATTAACATCATCCAAACCTACATCATTACCCTCCAGTCCAACATTAGAACCCTTCACACCTACATCGTTACCCATTAACTACAATGTCAACATTATCTACTTCTACTTCTATAGGCATATTACAATAATCTGACTCAAACAACGTGTGTTGAGTATAGATGTCAACACTTAGATGCACCATGTAAGGATAAATTATTTCTAAGGCTCATTTATCATCAACCAATTTAGTTATGTCAAATTTAGGATCATTGTACCAGATTCTCTCAAACACCCTATAACCTAACTCCTTATTTACACCAACAAACTCAAAATATCCTCACGTATCGACATCTATTCTCAATCAGAAATATCTCATCCTTCATACTTATTATGATCATCATCAACGAATTCACCACAATGATGAATTGTTAGATTTAGAAACTCGTCCATTACACATACGCATATCATTTTTCAAATATAAGAAACATACTGAAAAACCCCTAAATTAAAACAAACCCTAGTTTCCTAAAGCTATCAGAACGAAATCATGAAAATAAACTAAAACAAAACAAACCCTAAGTTCGTAAAACTCACAGATCAAAATCATGAAAAAACCCTAACTTTCACATTAAATCACAATGACTAAATGACATAAATTACAAACATAGGGTCAAATGTGCTTTCAACCCTTCAATCTTCCGTCAATTTCGCCTTCAATATTCGTCGATTCCGCCTTCAATGTCAAACACAAACCAGAACCAGCTTCACCTTTCGACGTTCACGTTTTGTGTGTCCTTTCATCCATTTGTGCTTTGTTTTATTTCTTTGATAATATACACACGTATTATCCACATCATCATTTAGAAAAGTCACGAGGATAAGCAAAACAAAACATCACTAATGAAAATAAATAGAAGGATAAATGTGCCACATTTTTAATAGATAAGGGATCTATTTGAACGTTTAATAAGAGACCAAAATGGACTCCAAATAAAGTTAAGGGACAAAAAAAGGGTAGTTCCTATTATTTAAAATATTTGAAATGTATGTACGAAACTTTTTGATATTGTTTTATTTTGTTATTTATAGTGTGATTTTATTTTGGAAAAAATAAATATTTCTATTTAAAAAAATGATTTTACTAAATAGATGGTGACAGGGTGGGGATACCCGAACCCATTTGGGACGAGTTTGAATTATAATTCTCCATTCTCGTTTGGGTTTGGGATAGAGAACGAGAATTGTTTGAAGATTCAAATTTAAGTTTGCGGAAGATAAAAACTGTCTCCAATTTGTCCCGTTATCATGTCTAATTTAAATTATGAGGTTAGCATCCAGTATAATAATATTGACATTCTATTGAATTAAGATTTACGAAAAACTTCAAAAAGAAAATTTTAATCATTAAACTCTTTGATAAAAAAATTGTGTGATTGTAAACTTCTAAACAAATTGTGGACTATAATTAATGACTCCACATTTGAAAAAAAGAAGAGTAAAATAAATGAACTTCTTTGATGATATGCTTTGAAATTTGATGGAGATATTAAATGTAAAGATTAATTTTAAAATATATTAATTTTTCCGTATTTAATCTTTAAATATTTTCTTTAAACTAATGGAGAGGTGACAAGCAGACAATTCACCCTCTTTAATTTTATTTTTCAAAAATCCATGGACATAGTTGAAGTTATAGGCCTAAAAATTTGACTTGCATCATAAAGATAGTAAGACATAAAACAACAAAAGTGGTGGTATCTCAAGTTAGTGAGGATATTGAAATATGTGTTTAACAATATAGTTGTAATGTATCATATTTGATTGTATATTAGGATGTATTTTGTATTTCATAGTATTTGTCTACATTACATTTTTTAATTCATTTATTTTAGGAAGTATTCATGTTTGTATGTACTGTATTACATTTTAAATGATATTCACATTATAATGTTTTATTTGTTTACAACATGTGGCCTTATTTAAGGTTGTATTTATATGTTAAGGGTTATGTCAAAGAGTCGGAGTTAAGGTACAAGTGGTGAGGTGTATGTCTATAATAGTTAATATTCTGATTTTTGGTTTTTTTTAAGCTCGTGACCTAATTAAGAGAACAAATTCTAAATTTGAAGAAGATGCAGTGAAACTATGGTGGAATATGAGGGTAGAACTTTATACGAAGAACTAAAGTCACTCATGAATGATGGTGATTAATAGGACTCATTAAGACAAAGAGGCCCAAAAGAAGAGGGAAAGTGTTGAGTTGGCAAGTAGTTAGAGAGAATGGAGAAGTTACATGTGAATTGGTTAGAGATAGTGGAGAATTTACACTTGAGGTGGTTAAAGAGAGTGGGGAAGTTACATGTGAAGAGAGTATATGAGGTTTGTGAGAGAGAAATAGTGGATTATTCATAATCAATTGTATTAGAACTTTAGGGTTGGACAAATGGAGGTTTCTTCTTCCTTTGAGAAGCTTTACTCTGAGATTATAGGAAATTTATTCTCTCTAATAGTTTCTTTTTATGATTAATAATAATTTTTTCTTATCTCTTGAATTGGGTTCTTAACAATTGGTCTGGCCTACCGGACCTATCGAGGAAGAGCAGGTGATGTCAGGGAAGTTGCTTCCCATCTTTTATGGAGATGAAGATGGTTACTGGTGGTTGATCCAATTGGATCGGTACTTTGAAGTCAACAAGTGAATTCATGAGAAGATGAAAGTAGATTGGGTGACTCTGTTTGCGTTGAGAGGAGAAGCTTCCTTATGGTGGTCTTCTTGGAAGCAAGACAACCATAATGCAACTTGGAAGAATTTTTAAAGAGGCTTTATTAAGAAATTTATCCCAGATCTGTGATATGCTTGAAGTTGCAGAAGGTGAGGAACAAGAAAGTGAGAATCTCATTCTAAATGAGATAATAAAAAACAATAAGGAGTTAAAGGATGATTGTGATAGACCGGTAATAGAGGAAGCTGATACGTTGGTCGATAAAAGGAATGAAGAAAAGGAGATCATGACACCTACTAATAACCATAGAGAAACTGACATTAAAGGATTAGCACCCGAAATTAAGAAGATGGAGGAAACACCACAATCAATGGTGAAATCCCCTTATATGAGTATCATAGAAAGCATTGCATTGAGAGAATTCAAGGTATGTATTAAATCGAGAAAGTCATAGAAGATAACAGTACCAAGCTCAATGGTGGAAAGACAATGTGCACATAGATCGGACTTATAACCACCATTGAAACCTTTGTACGTCGGTCAACCCGTGACGGTACTACCACTTATAGTCCTACAACCCACACCGATCGAAACAGGTCCAAGATGGACAACATACTTTTTAATGACAAAACCATCAGAACCGCCAGATGCTGAACAAAATGTGAAAGTTCCAATACAACAAAAACTATGGAATAATGAGTTTTTTGTTTCACCCACAAATATGATGAGGGAAGAAAGTCAATCTCAAGTAAGTGATGGATAATACAGTTGTTTTACTTGGAAAATTTTGGTCCTCAAGAATTTTGGTGTTGCTTAATTTGGTATACGATATAGGGAAGTTTTGGTCCTCAAGTTTTTGGTTGCAATTCACGTCCAATCTCACTATTTTCAATGGCTTGATTCCCATTTGTTTCTCAAGCAAACTGAAGGGTATCCTAGCAGC